TATTCTTCAGACCAAATCAATCGACTGCAAAAAAATATTAGATTTCCATTGCATGCAGAAAATTAAAAGTAAATGTTAACAGATACTATGGGTACAAAAGAGTAGATAAACAAGTTAACACAATACCATGTTCAATCGCATCCACCCCAACTTTTAAACCTCCAACAGATGAAAGTACTGCAGAAAGAATTACATATATACTGTAAGAAAAAATTTATGCCAAGAAAACAGAGAATGATTATCAAATGCAACAGTTTTCCATCAGTAAAAACAGGAAAAGAAATATTGTCCAAGGTGACAAGACACCAGAACCCCCTCCCTTTTTTCATTTTTCTTTTCTTTTTCTCCCTGTAGTCCCCTGAAGTAAGATGTACCACAGATGTGCTAACGTAAATTAAGGAACTAAAATTAAGGGTGAAAGAGCATATAATATTATATCATATATATATAAGGAAAAAAGAGTAAATTTTAACTGTTTTAATATGCATTCTGCGGATAAATGAAATGTTCAAGTAAACCATAAATTCATACTCCGTCCAGTTCAAAATATAAGACACTTTTAATTACTTCACAAGGATTAAGAAAAATAGTTAAAAGTGGTTTGCATCATTAAAATGATAAAAAATCATCATTACCTTTCAAGATTGCCCTTCAATTAAAAACAATCTACCTTAATTACCTTTGATTTCTTTCTTATATAATCTCTTCCTATAACAAAATAAAAAAGGGCATTTATGAAAAAAATTTGATACTATTGACTTTTGGCAACGTGTCCTGTATTATGGACCAACATTAGTTGGTAGAAAATTTCATATATTTTGGACTGGAGGGAGTGTAAAATAATCAATTTTGAAGATAAATTTTGACCATAAGCCATTGTGGTTTCCAGTTGATGACCAAAAAAGCTGATGCTGCCAGCAGCCCTAAAATTCTGAGAAACATTTCATGCAATTATTCAAGTATAATTTATTCTTCCAATCAGCAACTTAAGTACTCTGTAACTTTTAGGTTCTTACTTCCTAGGCTGTACAGCATGCCCATTGCTAGAAATTGATTGTTAACTAAATCATTTTTAATCAACAAGAGGAAACCCATTAATTAATTAATATACAGGTAAGCAATGCCCATCCTATCATCATCATCAACCACCTTCATACACAAGGGGGTTGATGATAACTAAATCATTTCATGGCAAGCATAATTAGAATGTATTAGATTAAAAGTTGGAATATGCAAGATAATCTTGCATTGCCATAGCCCAGACCTCCATTAGTCTCCCCTGGTCCCCAACTTGTTTTAATTCCCTCAATCCTCAGGCGCTGAGGTGAGCACCATTGACATTTATTGTAAATTCCCTCCACCCCCACTCCCAGCTGACCAAGTTTCCTTCTGACTGAGCATTATCAAGGACTCTGAAGTTAATGCGCCTCATAAAGTTTGGATAAACAGAAGTGAAACTTCTAGGATCACTTACTGAAACAGAGGTGGTGAAAACTAATAAATAAATCCATAACTTCATTATAAGAATTTTCAGAGTGTTATCACATAAATAAAAAGGATTTCAAGAAGAATGGAAGGCTCCAAATTTTCACTAACGCAATAGAGACAAATGCCTTGCCTCCATCAGAAAGGTACCAAAGGCCCCTTCAAAGGGCCTTGGCTGAAAGGGCCTCACCTGAATCATTAAGTGGTGAAGACCCCTTCAAAAGCCTTGGCCCAGGGCCTCATACAGACCTTTTGGCACTTTTAATTTCATTGGATAACATTACAGTTTGTTATCGGTATCAGTCCAAACAAATTATGATTAAAGAAAGTATGAAGTATATTTAAAATGCTTGAAATGATTTGATAACCTGACATAGCCGGTGTGACAACCCCATTAGCTATCACCATAGAAGTACCAGCCAGCACTAATATAAGTAGAATCTTCTTTAGAGTCAGTGAAGTCTCCAGTCTTTCCTTTATTTTTAAAGACCTCTCAAGCTCAGGGGATGGAACCTTCAGCCTAAAGCTTGATATGCGGGCATCAGAAGGCAACTGATTTGGCAAAAGACTCACCTTAGCATGACGACAAATTAAGGAGTACAAGGCAAAAGTACCACCTGCAGTGGTTTGGAAACAAGTATGATTTTGAGTACAGAACGCCAAGAGGAAGAGAGAGGGATGGAACATTGATGTATTAATTTACAATATTAAACAAACCTTCACCATCATCATTGGCCCACAAAACAACCAGGACATACTTCACAAGAGGAATCAAGAACAAGGTGTACAGAACAAGTGATAATGCTCCAATAACGTCTTCATTTTCATTAATAGGAGCTTTTCTAAACATAACACTGAAAGTATACAATGGACTTGTCCCAACATCACCAAAGACAACACCAAGGGTCTGAAAAGCTAATCCTATTCTCCTTCCCACACTGATATCCTGCAAAAAACATAATGAAAATAACAAGTACTAAGAGGTAATGTTTAGATTGTTTTGATTGTGTTTACAACTTCTATCATCTTTTGAAGAGATAATAAAGATTTTTAAAGGGTGGAAAACAAACACAAACCATAAACAGAGAACAAATTCGTTTACATTAATAAATGAATTCCAGCCTAATAATCATAGAACCTAAGAAGCAATGGAAAAATATTAACAGGCCCAAACGCCAGAAAAGTGAAAGCTTTTTAGATATAGACCAAAAAAATGCACCTCCAGAACTCTTTAGCAATCAGAAGATCAGAGAGACGGTAAGCACAAAATTTTTAGGACCATGACTCCTTAAAATTGAAGCACATGCCCATTAGATTGCCTCACCTCAAATCCAAAATTAATTGGCCAATTCCACAAAGTCAATGCTTGCCTTCACTTGCCTTCTTTCACAAAGATATACCTATCTACATCAAATCTCCATAATAATTCTCCAGAAAGAGGCAGAATACTAGCATTACATGCCTTCAATGTCATATATCCTGTCCCCCTCTAAAGTAACTTTCTTTATTTTGACAAATTATCAATACTTTTAATAAAAGACGACTTCCTCGAATTTACACAAGTATATTTAAATTCATAGATCTTTGCCATATCAACAGTTTTTTTTTCCCCCGCCTGACAGAACTCAAGTCACAAGTATTTGAATTCTCTTAACACTGGACAATAATACTTCGTACCCTGAAAAGCACAAGTAAAAACAGGGTTCGCAGCTTAACCACCTCCCATTACCCGGGATGCCCAGACGGTAATACTATAAATAAAAATTAAAAATATCGCAGCTTTTGGCTGAAAGGAATAACGAGCGTTCCGTTTCACGAGAAATTGACAAAACTAGGCCAAGTCCATCAAAAGGAAAGAAACCAATGCAATTCATGAAATCTCCATACCATCTCATAGTCATTTCTCAGTGCACCAGGAACCTCAAGAGCTTCAACATCAAACGAGTCGATTCGCGGGCCCGTACGGATTAGCTTTTGCTCGCCATTTTCATCATCCTCCGAGTCCAACATGTACTGATGGCGCGAATCTGACTCATCTTCCTCTATCTCTGAATCATCCTCGTCCTCCTGGAAAACCCACCTGGATTCGGTGGAGTCCATCGAAAATCCACCATTGATTTCACCTCTCTCAGGATCCCCCTCCTCAGCCATCGCCCAGATAACCAGGACAGAGCTCAAATTCAAGATTTAGAATCGTATACAACCGATGCAATTGCGAAACTAGCAACTGTAGGTATGGGGGTACGCAAAAATCAAACGGCAAACCTTAGGGTTCGTCATAGGAAAAGGCACTGGGAGATAAAACCGATTGAATTTCTGAGACCGGGATTGCCATAGTAGTATGGCAGCATTCAGTTGAAGCTGCGGATCAGAAGAAAATAGAAAACAGCACGAGGGCCAGTGTTTGTGAACGGAAGCGTGCGCCTGCGAGGAAGTGAAGAAAGTAATAAACTTCCCTTGGTAACTGCTTATCGAACAAAGATGGGAACTTGGGTTGGGACACTACCCGAACAAGGCGGGCACAGCGTGTGAGGCACGGGCCCATCTGGTGCCATCGTTAAGCATGAATTTCGTTTTCCAATGGCAACTGGCAATGACTCACTCCAAAAAGGTATATTGCAATTTTTAAGCATGTTTTCTTTTGCTATCTTCGCATAAAAATCTTGACAAGAAATAAATGTTCGTGCAAAAAATCTGTGGTTAACTTCCCAAGTTAATTGAGTAAATTGCTAAAATCCTACATTGAAATGATGAGAGAATTATTTCACCTCCTTTTGAAGAGCCAGGGGCAAATAAACAACATTCAACATGCGCATACAAAAATAGCCCGCCATTTGAATAAATTCAAGCCAAGCCAGGTGAATAGGATAAGTAAAGATCCAAAATTCAAGTTACTTCATGTAATTATTTATTAAAAAAATAACTGATTCTTCACATTTTTTTATAAGAGATAATAAAATTTTTAATCCCTCAAATTTATCTTGATTAAAAAACAACTAATTCTTCACATTTTTTATAAGAGATAATAAAATTTTTAATCCCTCAAATTTACTTCAATTATTAATTTGATCCTTTAAATTTAATTTTTATTAATCTAGATGTTTACATTTTTTTAAATTATCATGTGAGTCCCATAAATTTTAAAACACAAATTAACTATAAAATTAATAATGTATAAAGTAATCTAATAACTTGATATGTACGAATAAATAAACAGAAAAAAATTGATAAAAATTAAACTGAATGATTAAAAGTTGCATTACTTTTTTTTCTATAATCACTCAACCTTTTAAAAATATAAACACCGATTCACATATACCTTTACAAAATCTAAAAATAATTTCTTTTCAAGAAAAAAAATTAAAAAAAATGTAAACCCAGGAGAAGAAAGAGAAGGAATATATAAGATTAAATAATGATTTGAAAACTTAAAATAGCTGGAAACTCGGTAATCTAATTGGATTAGATATTTTATGTAGTTCCTTATTTTTTCCCCATTGCAGAAAAAGAATCACTAATTGTAAATATCGTCTTAACTTCCATTGGCACTCATGTGGACATAATTATAGATTTCTATGAAGAAATCCAAAATTATTACATTTAAGGGTACCAATCTTCATTCAATATACAAGGTGTTAAATAAAGCGTACATGGATCGCACCCAGAATAAAGACAGATTTTACTCAGATGTAGAATGGGATTCCCTTCCTCCAAGTGTCTGAATTATACCTTCTAAAAGTTTGATATCCTTATCGCGCTTTGAGATTTCTTCTTGCTTTGCACGCAGCTCTTCCATGTGAAGCCCAAACACCTCTGTGATCAAAGTCAGAACCATTATTAGCTTTGCCTATAACAGATTAGAACTGTTCCACACTACTGCTGAGACAGAAGCACGGAAACTGACTGCATCTTCCATCTCCAGACAGAAGCACAAGTTGGACTTCCCGGGCACAATGAAATGAAGAACTTCGAAACTGAAGATGATGATTATATATCTTCGAACTAGGGAAGTGGTTTGATGTAGAAGATCAGCAAAATTTATTAAACATTGGCTTGAAACAGAGAGTAAAGAATGAGTTAATCCTTTTAATTGGAGATAAGTGAGAAACTAAATAACATAGCAATTTCATTAATAAGTTCCTTCAAAACATTTAATCCCAGGAATATCAAAATATCATAAAGTTAAATTAAGCAATTTAACATCGTGTTCAAGTAAAAAGCTGCATTTAATTTATCACAGCAGAACTTTCACTTCAAGGGACGCAAAGCTAACTAGGTATCAGTATAATAATGGTGATTGCAGCACTGATAGCTGCAAAAAAGTAGCTTGCATTACAATGTCTACTGAAGAAACCAAGAAGGCATGAGTTCAAAATATGAGGAACCTGATTGAAAAGAATGATATAATTTAATTATTCAACATACTTGTGGTGTTCTCAAGCTCCTTTGTAACCTCTTGCGCACGTAACTCAGCTGCTTTCTGTGCTGCTTCAGCCTGCCGTTTTTCAGAACGAGCATGAGCAGCAGCAGTGATGGCAGCGTCTAGTTCTCTTTCCAATGTTTCCACTCTTTGTTCAAGAACCTAGAAAAAGGTTGACTGAAATACATTAGTTTCACACTGGAATTAATAATTAGTTGATTTCATACAGCAGAATATCAGTTAATAAAGACCTTCAGAATTACAGCATGTCAAATCCACTTGCTAATTTTTATTTCAATGATAAGTTTGAGTGAAGGGTATAGCATTTATATTCTGTTGTGAAGGAAATAGAAGTGAAAGTAGCGCATGGGAATGACATATTTCTACCCCCTTCCTAAACAATTGGAAGTACACTAGCACAGGTTACTGAGGTTTAATTAAAATCTTAATTCATGAGAGAAAAAATTAGCAAATGATGATTTAGTCCTGAAATAACATTCACCTCTGAATGTGGTCCTCAAAAACGAAAGCCTTGCAATTTAGTCTCCCTAAATATTTTTCACAATCAAAATAGTCACTCGGTTCTCACGGTAATCCAATAGCCCTACAGACGGCACATAAACAGGAGTCCACATGACCCTTAACTCATGAGCAACTGGTATTAATATGCTGAAATGGTGCGGTTTCGCTAATTGCTTGGCTTGGTGAATTACTGAATTTTGCCCAAATTTGGTTCTAGAACGATATGGGTTCCAGTTTTATGTCACATTAGCAAGTCTATTCAGTGACCAGAAGAGGGATCATTTTCATTGATGAAATCTTTGGAGAACTAAATTGAGAGGTTTTGTCTTTGAAGAACCAAATCAAAAGAAGATTGATCTTTCAAAAACAAAATCACAAATTCGCTCAAAAGAAGGGGAAAAAAAAAAGCGAGTCATCATGTTATTCCTAAAAATGGAATCTAAATTATCAGAATCAAATAATTGCAAATTTCTAGAATATATAAAAGCTGAAGTCCTAGTTAGTTCAAGTTTTAGAAACACTTTCTTCAAAACACTATTAGAGAGTAGTTTCAATGACATATCCCTCATGGAATCTCAGGCGATATATCATTTTTTATGTGAAATGTTCAGCACTCCTATAAACCATTTGAAATGAAGGCCATTAGTACCCCACATTCCAATTTATGCAAACACCCACCAATATATTTGTGGGGCGTAAGATATCTGATGACCTTATGCCTCCACACATATAAGAGTCAAACGAGCAGTGAATTCAGTGTAGTGCCTAAATGTAGACAATTTAATATTTTTCCAATATAATTCCCTTAAGCTGATTGGAACAGATATCAATAAATCTCTCAAAACTTGCACATATTCAATCTCTCTCGTTGACATTCAAAGTCGAGATTTATTAATAAACGTTGCACAAGCAAGGATTCAATCCGTAGTATCACTTCGTTTGAAGAACAATTAATTTTGCGCCAATCAGTTAAACTCAATTACAAATCCTGTAGAAGATTTCAGGCATCTTCAAATCTGCAAAGCCTATCACCAAGTTTAGAAATTTCAGCAATCATCCCCCTTCTTTTATAAAATAGCCTCCAAGACTGAACAAAAACTAACTTAAGAAAAAGTTCAGATCGTATGATGACTGAAATCGTCGATCAAATCCAACTTTAGCAAGAAACAATCCTCCTTAATTACACAACATAATCAATACCTTCTTTCGTGAATTACTCTTACGACCGATTGACCTCAAAAACCTGGAGCAAGACGAAAGAATAGAATAAAAGTCCCATTGAAGGCACAAACCTTGATGGTGCGGGCTTGTTCAGCAGAGAGGGAGGCTTTGGCGAAAGTGTCATCGTCTACGAAAACAGCTTTCTTGATGAGAAGTTTCTGTAGAGACTCCAAATTGGAAGCCATCTCCGTCAGATTCGTTATGGCTCCGCTCCATCTCTCGCTTCCTCTGCCTCTCTCTTCCATGATCCACACGGCGCTTCAAGAGCCTTCTTCATATTATTCGGCTAGTTAAGGAAACAGACGTCCTGGCAGGAAAGAGTAGTCATCGGCTTAGTGCAAGCTTGAAGCAGGCCGTCTCCAATATTAATTTTTGGCCGACAGTTAAGTTTTAGCAGAAAAAATATATATATATATTTAAGTATGAATAAAAAAATTTAAATCATAAATGGTCTCCTTTCCCGCTGCACTATAGAGCATTTTTTTAAACATTTTACTTAATTCAAAACTTAGGTAGCTTTACTTTTTATAATTATTTTTTAACTATATCCTTATATTACATTTAGAGATTTCAATTGTCAAGACATTGATATAAAATATTTAATAAAAGTATAATTAAATAATATAATTTTTTTAAATTAAGTCTTCGCTTAAATATTTTTACAACTGTGAAATATTTACGGATATTCTATATGAATATATTGAGATTTAAAATGAGTAATTTTTTTTACCTCTTTTTATGGTTGAATTTTAATATTTATTTTTTATTTATTTCAGTGTGCTTTTTCAAATATTCTTTATATTCTTTAAATGTTTTTTCAAATATTTTTAATAAGATCTAAACATGAAAGAGAAAGCATAATTTTCAATAAACTCTAAAGTTATGAATTTATCATCCACCTTAACAAAGCTTTATTGTACATTTGTTTCCTTTCCTAAATTTGTTAAAGGTTTGATGTGTATTCAATAGGAACTTGTCATAGAAATTTGAAAAATTATGAATTGGTTGGTAAAGACAGATAATTAAAAATAAGAATCCTTTAAACAAAATAGGATAAGATAATCTAAACTTAAAACCCAAAGCAAACTCGTCCCAAAAAACACCAAGTATATGAAACTTGACATCTAATGAAAACTTTTTTGAAAAATTCCAAATATTCCAAACAAACAATCAAATTAGAGAATATGAGGAAACAAGCTACACCAACTTAAAAGAAATCAATACTATTCAATTCTCTAATCTCTCTTTGTCTGTGTATAAGGTGGCCCTTAAATTGGCAAAGAAAACTTAGACTCTAAAAAACCCTATTTATAAGAAATCCTAACTGATTCACTTAAACCTAGAAGTCCATTGATAAGTAATTAGGTCATTTTCATATTAAAAGAGTAACTTCAAAATTATAATAAAGAGTACCTACGAAAATACAAGAAAAATAGAAAAATAATAATTGATAAAAAATTAACTTTAAAACATAATTGTAATAAATAAATAAGTAATAATTAATCTTGAAATCTTCATATCGTGCACTTATTTTCATTTAAACTTCGTTCTTGATAACACACTTATATTCCTGACTTGAGCCTTGTAAGACTCTTTAGCACTGTCCAAACGCAAGCTTTGATTACTATTCACGTTTTTAAGCTCCCATGGTCCATTGCAACATTCATTTGGACTCAAATACACAAGAATATAACTAAATTTGCCTCCTCCAAATGTACGTGTTTGTGTTCATCTTCCAACACGGTGATTTAAGCTCCAAATACACATTACAAGCTCTTAGATATGTATTTCTTTTCTTAAGCTTTCCTCTACTGAGTAATTTGATGTTGGATATTTTCATAACATAACATGCCATCTAGACACCATACAAGATGTCATTAAGGTTAGAATTGTATTCTCCATGCATGCACTGGTTACCCAATCATTTCTAATTCCAGTGATGCATGAAAAAGTGCATAACAACAAGATGATTAAATCTGATATGATTGATCCACAAGAGGCAAATCCTACTCAACCAATGTAGAACCACCAGCAAACAATGTTCACAGATTCAAGTTGGCACCACTCTTCTCGGACACGGAGAGCGAAGATCACAACCATTATTGCTCATTTTCAAGGAGAAAGCTTGCTAAACTCTTCATAGTTCATGGTTACCTTCTAACAGACCCTTGACAAGGAACATAAATTTACCAAAATTAATGTACGATTCAACATCGAGACGTGGTTCTCTATTGCAAGGATATGGCACTATAGGGAGAGAGAGACATAAATGAGATGTAGCTCATTTAATTTTTATGACCATCTCTCTCTTTACAACACAAAACTACAGATCAAGATTCTTTATTTTTCAATTAGTCAATCTGAGACTTGATTTTTTTTTTCTAATAGTATAGTCTAATAAATTTTAGTAATATGAGTTGTTTATCACACCAAAAAAAAGAGTTGTTTATTATATTTTTTTATTTATAGAGATATGATCTGTTTTCATAAAATTTGAAACTTATATTAAAAAAATATAAGGTACATGAGAAAAAGCTCCGCAAAACCCCATCAGGAGAATGAGATATATTATGTTTATTTAGCAATTGTTGTTTTTTTGGGTGGATCTAGGAACAGCGATTGAGTTGGCCACAATACTGGGCAAAAACAAAAAATTGATTTGGCCACAATTAAAAAACAAAAAAAGAAAAAACAATTGCATCGCCCCTCCCTCAGTGCAATAACCCAGAAGTTTAAGTGAACTAAAAATTAATGAGGTAATATTTTTATTAATTTGGGCTTGACACTACACGTGAGAATGGTGGCACGGTGGAGATTGTGCCAGCAATCATTCAGCAGGCCTTGAGCTTGAATCACTTTAGTCTTTTGTGAAATTATCAAATTGCCCTTTTCTTGGACCGTACTCTGTAACCAAGGGGGAAAACTTTAGACACTTCACTTCTATATCCTTCCATCCTTCCCTCTCTTCGTTCACTTACCCCGCGGTCCCCTGCTGTCCAGTCGTTGCCGGTGTGCGTGTGGCTGAGATCCGTCGCCGATCTGTCGAATCGCGGCTCCTTCGTCCTCCTCTGTTTCACAGTACCGAAGCCCTTCTTCCTCCTCTGTCATCCGTTTCTCCTCGGATTGTAGCAGCGGTGCTGAAGATTCTTCCCTCTACTCCGCCGCCGTCGACTGTGAGTTGGGTGGAGCTCGTCTTTTCTTCCTCTTCCGTCTCCGTTCTTGCCGTGGTGTGGGGCGTCGGACGCTCTCCTTCTTCGACCTCCCTGTTGAACGCCGCAGACTTCTTCCTCTTCTCTGTTTCGTTGTCTTTGAACTGAGGTGAGTGGCTTCTCATTCTCCACCTCTTTGGTGATGCCGCTTGTGTGTTTTTATGGCTGAAGTTATGATTTTTCCCCCTTCGCTTATGCCTTGGTATCAATCGCTGTGTGTGTGTGTGTTGATTGCGTTGGAGCACATTTTTTTTATATAAGTAATTTCAGTATAATCAATGGATTACTGCTGATGAAGATGAATGTGGATTGATTTTTCCTTGAGTTTAAAACTGATTTTTTTTTTTGGGAAGAATGCAATTTGGAATGAAATGTTGTACTGTTTTTTTAGTTGCCAGGCATTCATATTTTCATTCTCTTGTGTTTTATAGGGAATCCTAATGAAATGCTTAAGAAAAGAATTATATATAATTAAGTATTATTCAGTTTCTTTATTGATATTTAAGTGCTGGATATGTCACTAATACTTCATTAAACTCTCGGTGAAGAGTTATGTTATTTAGATTTGTTTAGGTATTTATTCTTTTGAATTTCTTTGGTTCAACCATGTGCTGAATAGACTTTGAGAATATCAAAAGATGTTATAAAATAACCATGTTGTTTCCAAGTTGTTGATTTGCTCTTTAGCAGAAAGATAGTAATCTCTTGGCTTCTAGCATATTTAAATGTTAATTCATATTGTGGTATTGTGAGAAATATTTGGGAAGTTTATTATACAAATGTTTTTGAACTGCAATGCTTGTTGTGACATTTATCTTGGGTTGAACGTGACAAATTAAGTTCTGAAATTGAGATTTTTCAAGTATTTTTATAATGATAAAAGTCCTTTTTATTTTTGAAAGAGAGTTTTACAAGTATATAAGAGTCTATGGAAGAAAGTTTGGGATAAATGGCTTATGGATATTGTTTAGATTGGTTTGTGATATACTTAGGAATCCTTTTGGAGGGATCAAACACATTACGTCTGTTATCCGTAGCCTTCGAGTTGCGTTTGTTATCCATAGCTTTTGAGCTACGTCTATTATTCGTGACCTTCGAGCTGTGTCTGTTATCTGTGGCCTTTGAGCTGCGTCTGTTATCTGTAGCCTTCGAGCCACATCTGTTGGTGATTTACTCCCATGGATAGTGTACCCATGACTAAAAATTCTGTGCTGTGTGGATTCTTCTAAGGGAATCTGTTTTCGAGAAAAATATTTTTCTTCTCTAAATTTTTATTTTTTTTTAAAAAAAATTCTTATTGTAAAATTTTTGGTTAAGTTGATCCCAGATCACTGTTACAAAGTCTATTTTGTCACTATAATGAGTTTGAAAGTATGTTTCATACACTTATCCTCATTTTAGATTGTGAGTATTGTGTTAGTAAATATTTATCCTTGTCCTTGTTTATATATTTGAAGTGTTTTTAGATAATTTAAATTATCAAGTTATGGTTCTCACCTTAAGAAAATTAAACTGGATTTGCTCTTTATTTATTATTGATGGTTTAAAATAACAATTAACCTTGGTATCATGTACTTATTAAATTGTTTGTATTTTAGATAATAAAAACTTCCACTGCCTTCATTTGCATTATAAAACAGGTTTCCTTGTTGAATAATTGTAAAGTTGAGTTTATGTTAAATTTGAATTATTGTTTTGTGGCATTTGATAGTTGTTCCAACCAACAGGCAAGATATCTGCCTCTTTATTTTTATTACTTATTGATTGAGGATGTAATTCTCGTCGAATTGCTTGTTTAATTATTTTAAAATTTTTTTTTAACATTTACTCAAAATCTTTACGTAAAGTGATGAGTATTATTATATCATTTGATTTTATACCATTGAAGTGTATAATTTTTCCCAATTATAATTAGGAACATATATATTGATTAGGCATATGAAGCAAGGTTAACCTTGTATTTCATGCAGTGATGCTTGGTATTTTTTGGGGGGGGTGGCGGCACTCAACTACCTCCCTGAGGATTGAGGTTTCTCTGTAAATCTTGCACTTCCAATCCAACCTATAAGAATTTCAAAGGATACTCAAAAATCTCTTTTGGGGTATTTGGACGAACAACGGATGCTCAATTTTGATTTCTCAAAGTAAATGCTATTTTCTACAAAGCTCATCCACTACCTCCGCACGAACTCCACCTCACACCCCTTTTGGCGTCACCGCCTCAAAAACCTAACCACTGCCGCCACAACTACCACCGCTAATGCCCCTTCCAAAGATGATTACTTTGCCGCCATACACCACATCTCAAACATCGTTCGGCGAGATTTCTACATGGAGCGAACCCTCAACAAGCTCCAAATCTCCGTCAACTCTGAGCTCGTCTTTCGTGTTCTTCGTGCTTGCTCTAACTCCGGCACTGAGTCGTTTCGCTTCTTCAATTGGGCTCGATCCTACAATCCTTCGTACCAACCTACATCAGTGGAATTTGAAGAGATGGTCAAGATCCTTGCTCGCGCCAAGAAATATGAGACCATGTGGAAGATTGTTCAACAAATGAAAACCCAGAATTTGAGTTTGTCTCCTGAGACCGTCTCCTTCATCATTGAAGAGTATGGCAAGCATGGCCTCGTGGACCAAGCTGTCGAGATCTTCAACAAGTCTAGGAAATTCAATTGCCCACAAAGTGTGCAGGTACACAATTCTCTGCTTTTTGCACTGTGTGAGGTGAAAATGTTTCATGGGGCATACGCATTGATACGTAGGATGATAAGGAAAGGGGTGAATCCTGATAAAAGAACTTATGCTATTCTAGTGAATGCTTGGTGTTCATCTGGGAAAATGAGAGAGGCTCAAGAATTTTTGGAGGAAATGAGCAAGAAGGGGTTTAATCCCCCAGTGAGAGGTCGTGATCTTTTGATTGAAGGATTGTTAAACGCTGGCTATTTTGAATCAGCCAAAGAAATGATGAGAAAATTGATTAAGGAAGGGTCTGTACCTGATGTAGAAACCTTCAACACTTTGATAGAAGCATTGTCTAAATCTGGGGAGGTTGAGTTTTGTGTAGGTCTTTATCATGAAGTGTGTAAACTTGGTCTTGCACCAGATATTAACACTTACAAGATCCTCATTCCTCCGGTGTCAAAATTGGGTTTGATTGATGAGGCATTCAAACTCTTGCATAATTCAGTTGAGGAAGGGCATAAGCCATTCCCTAGTTTATATGCACCAATAATTAAGTCACTCTGTAGAAGGGGTCAGTTTGATGATGCATTTTGTTTCTTCGGTGATATGAAGGTGAAGGGACATCCCCCTAACCGTCCTGTGTATACAATGATGATAACCATGTGTGGTCGTGGAGGCCGGGTTGTTGATGCCGCAAACTATTTGGTGGAAATGACAGAGCTGGGAATGACGCCGATATCTCGGTGTTTTGACATGGTTACTGATGGACTGAAGAATATTGGGAAACATGATTTGGCTCGGAGAATAGAGCAGCTGGAAGTTTCTCGTCGCGGCATCTGGTAAGATCCTCCTTTCCATTGTGTTCTTACACGCCTAAGAAACACATTCACTAGAAAAGAAAGTAATGTATGTGTTTCATTAATTTGAAATGAAATGCAGATCCTTTGAAGTGCAGTGATTCAATCGAGCTAAGGAGATAGAAAGGGCAAGAGGTTGGCCAACTTTTGCACTGTGAATTCTACTAAAAAGAATCCATCTCTTCTATTTTGTTCTTCTCACTTCAGCTGTATTTATTTCAGGGCATGCTGGTTATTATGCATGAAAACATCAAATCTTGTGGTGTCACAAAAGCAAAGTCCATGTCCATATGAGTGTGTGCTTCCAAGCTTATGACAAACATGTGAAACTTGCCATAGTTTGGTGGTAAATTTTCTTGACACTCTGAACTATACGTAAAGACTTGAAGTTTTGTCATTCACAGTTTGTATTCATTCTTTCTAGCTTGTAACAGGCATGTATTAGAATGTATTGAAAGGTCCCAAATTGATTAACTAAAGAATGAATTGAAGGTATACACTGTTAAAGTAATTCCTATCAAATTGGCTTAAGCTATTTTGATAGAAAGATAAACCTAATATATTCCTAATACCAAAAAGTTTAATAGCATGGATAATTACGCCATCGCTGAATGTTAGGAAGTTTCTATTTTGTACACAAATGAGTATCTAAGGATTGAATGCAAAATCATTTTCTTATGACTCGTTTGGTTACCAAAAAAGATGAGAATAGAATGTAATATAGAAAAAGAAAAAAAAATGAACTAAATTACTTTTCCACTCATAGTAAATATAATAAAACTTAATACAAGATACTACAAATATGGGAATCACCACACTATAAACCTTATGAATTATGATTCATAATATCATGAATTAAATTAGCCTTCCCCTCTAGGAACATTGTCGACTTATCACTTCTCCACATCTTGATTAGTCTATTTTTATTTTTATTTTTTTAATTCATTCTTTTTTAGTGAATAAATGGGCCCTTATTGTCTTCCCTTATCCATTTTGTAGTCTATTCAATTGAGTTGGGTAAACATTTCTAACCTGGTAGATTAGTTACAGCTTCCAACGTCAATTTCTTCCCTTGATGAGTTTTCTGCATTCATGGTATATTATGTTGGCGTTGAAAATTATTCTTCTTTTGAGCTATCTATGGTCTGCCATTCATGATCCATTTCTTTCTGTATATGCCTGATTGAAGAAAAGTTTATCCTGAATGCTCATAGGCTTGCCACATAGGAGATCCTTTTATCCTATTCGTTTTATATGTGGAGCAGGGAAAAGAGGAGAAAAGGGGCATGGGGAAGGGGAACGAAAAAGTGAAAAATGCATCTAGATATTGATACTTGATGAAACCGTGAAAATGTTACGCTCCAGACCCCCAAAAAAAAAATTTCAACTTAAGAGTTTTAGAAAATTATTACAGTTTTACTATCAACTTCTGAGCAACTTTATTACTAAATCTTAAGAAAACCAGCATAAAATTATGTTAAAAATTGTAGCTTTGTTTGAACTTAACAATAGTTATATTAAAATTTCAAATTTGTTATTAAAACCCTTAAAATTTGATAATGACTTGTAAAATTTAGTAGAGATTTTGATTTTTTTTAAATAATTGCGATTTTTAAGATGTTTTAACTTGTATTCTTTGAAAAAAGAAAAAAAAGATTTTCATCCATAGAGTTGGATTTATGTTTTTTTTCCCTTTTTGGGTGTAGTAGACTTGTAGTGTTTCTGGGAACATTGGTGATTAAGTCATTAACATTCAATTCGCTTGTTAACTACGGCATTGATTTCTGATATAATTAGTGCGTTAATTTATAACAACAACAACAACAACAACAAGCCTTTATTCCACTAGGTAGGGTCGGTTACATGGATTGCAAGACGTCATTGTGCTCTATCATTTATCAAGCTTTTAGGGATATTATTAATTAAGAGATCGCGTTCAACAACTTCCAAGAGTGTTCTTTTAGGCTTTCTTCTATCTCTCTTAATCGAACTCAAATTTATATGTTTCACTCTTCTCACCAGTGCGTTAATTTAATGTACCAAAAATATGTTTGTCCAAAAAAAAAATGTACCAAAAACATGTAAATTGAACGGTGACTTTAGCCAATACCAATACCAATACCATCCCTTGCAAAGTCACAAGGACTGTTATCAAAAGCTATTCATTGTAGCTCTCGCCAGTCTGATAAGGGGTACCTTACAGCATCAAGTTTTAAACTATATTGGATAATAAAGTACTATTTTGTGTAAGATAATAATAATGTTATGATATTCTATGATTGATAATGTAAGATATAACGTTAATGTGATATAAAAATTAAATCTATTGACAGAAAAGGTGAAGATGCAGCTCATAGTTTATAGAAATGTGATTTTAAATCTTACTGCCAAAGTGATACTATTATGTTGATTCAGCATTATTGAATTAAATTCAAGTGTGGTCATGTCTAATTGATGATGGAAGGAGGGTATATGTAGAACATAGTTGAAGATGGTAGTAAAGTGGTGTGAAGGTTAAGAGACTTCATCCATGAGGTGTTTTGGCAGACTAAGTGTTAGATTAGTTGGCAATCATGAGGAAAATGAAATGGGTGGGAGTGAATTTTCAAAACATTTTTCCCAATAAAGCAGTAACTCCGTTTTTAGCAGAACAAAACAAGGTAGATGAAGAGTTTTAAGGCTTGATCGATTTTTATTATTTTTTTATTTTTAAGAACTGTTTTGCAATACGGTTTTTAAAATTATTTTCAAAAACAAGACAAAAGGAAAATTTGTTTGATTGTATTAATTTAAACACAATTTTAAAATTAAAAAATTGGTAGATAGTGATGGTCATTGAAAATTAATAGTGATAGCTTATGATAATTATTTATCAAGGTAATTGTAGTTTTCAATAATCAAATATAATATATTTTGAAAATGAGAAAAAATGAAAACATTTTTAAGATGTTTCTATTTTTTGTCTTTAAAAACAAAAAAAAATGGGAATACTTTTTGAAGAAATAAATTCAAAACACTCTTTCAAACAAGTGCTTTTTAAAAAAAAATTCTTTTAAAAACAAAAAAAAATTAAAAACAAAAACAACAAGCCCTAAATAAGTGAAGTTTGAGAAAAGTTTGACACAGAGAATTTACATCAGTTTAATTCAATCACATTGCTTAGATATAATCTTTTAGAGTGCAATCATCAAAATAAGGTGCATCTAGCAACAAGGATTCACGTTAAAAAAAAAAAAAAAACTATGAAGCCTTTTATATTGTTAGGCCCATTGCTTTTATCAGTAACAACTTTCCTGACATTGAGGGACAATAATGCCCCATAAAACAAAAAGGAAGAATCATGAGCAACAGCATGTAGAAGCTCATTTAACTTCCTCCATTCCTATTGTTCACCTTACTTTTTATAAATTTTGGGGAAAAAATATGACATTAGGTCTTGTACTTTGATTATGTTATTTCCTATAGTTTTATGTTGTTGTTTTCAATTCTTTAAGTTTGATCAATATGAAATATTATTAGTCTTGATTATTTTAAAAATTCACAAAAACTTTGAGTTGATATTGACAAAGTTGATTTCGCCATAACTCTGATAACCACCACTATACTAACATGAAAATAAATTGATCGTGTATGATTAAAAATAAAAGGTAAAGAGGAAAAAAAAAGCTTTCTTTGATATTTAGCTTAAATAGAATGTGGGAGACAAAGGTAAGATTAAGGATATGTCAACAAAAAAGTTAACAAAAGTTACAAAACTAAGTATGCATTAGTAAAACTAATTTTGTATGTGTCAATTGATTATATTTATATGTATTTTTTAAGTTACAAGAACTAACGTTGTAGATGGATCAAACGAAAGGAAATGGTAGCACCAATGTCAAATTATTAAACGTGCTTAATTCAGTTGAAATTTAAGATGAGCTACCAGAGTGTTTTTTTTAAAAAAAAAAATCTGTTAAGTGTGAAGTTAAGAATTAAAAAACAAAAGTTATAATGTACTCTCTTCATTAAAAAATATAAAGCATTTTTAACCGAATCTTACTACTAATAAAGTTCTTACCTACTTTTAAATTAACTATATATTTTCATATTTACCCCTATTAACTACCCTATAATAAATATAAAGCCACCATCAATAGGGGCACTTTTGAAAAAAAATAATTACATCTCGAAAGACTTAAAAATGCCTTATATTTTTAAACGGAGGGGGTATCAAAAAGGAAATGAAGTTATAAGATCACAATATATATATATATATATATATATAAGGAAGGGTGGCTGCATGATGTTGATTGGAAGCAAAGTAGCATGATTAAAAATTATGATAATAATCTTGTTCTTGCAAGCACACCCACCACTTCTTTTACATGAAAAAGATTCAACTAATAATGGGAATATGGGGTTGAAAAAGAAGAAACCTTGCATAACAAACAATTAAGCAGCTAATGAATTTGGTTATTTCATAACTAAAAAAATTAGTTATATATAGAGCACTTGTATTTTTTTTTTATCTCAAAATATATTGATTTTTTTTTAAGGTTACTAGAGTTGACATGATTATGGTTCTTGACATAAGTAGTTAGTTCCGCACAAATCCAAAATAATTAGCAAGAACGTTTTAGTATTTTTTTTAAATATTTTAAAAACAAATAAAACCATTATGGACTTTTAAAATTTTGAAAATAACACTAATAAAATGAGAGAAAATGTGAGAAGAGAGATTGAAGAGAAGAAAAAAGTGGAAGGATGTAATTTTCTCTCCATATACTTAGCTGAGTGAGAGAAAATGAGAGGAAGAAAAAATTATTAATTTCATATGGATAATAATAATTTTACTATTTATAGAAAACTATTAGGAGAATTATATTGAAATCCTGTATAAGAAAATTAATTATTATAATGTCCAATGACAACTGAACTAAACTATATTGACAACACAAACAGTTGTCAATACAGATTAGTTCAGTTGTTAATGAACCTTACAGTAATTAATTTTCCCGTGTGAAACTTGATTGTAATTTTCCTAAAAATATTTATATATAATAAATTTAATATTTTAATTTATTATTTATATTACTTTTGTTATATATTATTGATTAAATATTTAATTGTAAATTATTTTATTTGATACTAGAAAAAATTTATTTTGTCTAATTTTAAGTTCTATTTCTTAAATTATTAAATATGTAATTATTTAAATTTCAAATTGAAGGGAAAATTAGAATAAAAATGGAGGGAGGCAACAAGCAAGAAACAAAAAGATTCATAGGTAAATTTAAAATTAATTTTTTCTCCAAAATCTTTACATATTTGAAAAGAAAAGTTAAAGGTAAAAACATATGAATCTCACACATTATTTTTCTCTCAATTTCCTCTCCCTCTTATTTTTCTCTTATTAGCCAAGTAAGAGAAAATATTATTTTCTTCCCATTCTTCTCTCTCACTTTTTCCTTTCCCCTATTTTTTTCCTCTTGCCAAGCTCAGCATTAAAGACCAAGGTCCTTATCTAAT